TGGAAGAAGGGCGGTATAGAAATCTAATAAACTTTCAAACTTTCTAATAAGTTTCAGCATGCCCTGGGAAGCTTCACTGGATGTGAATAATGTAAGAGCAGTGATGTAAGGGAAGTTCCCCTATCTTAGTAATGGCTTATAAACATATTGGACTGGACTGGAGAAATGACTATTTCTGAGAAATGTGAGAAAATAGAATGACTGAAGATTACATGCATCTTCCTAGTAATTGCATGGAGGAACTAGTCTAAGAACGTGGTATAAACTTTAGATCCTAAACAAGCATTCATGATGATGCTTTCTTCATAGGTCTGGATCTTGTCAGTTATTTTAAATGGATACAGATACAGATTAACAGAGTTGGAAGGGACTTTGTAGGTCATCTAATCCAATCCCCCACACAAGCAGACCCTACACCATTTTTGACAGATGGTAGTCCAGTCTCTTCTTGAAAGCTTCCAGTGATGAAACTCCCACAACTTCCGAAGGCAAGCTGTTCCATGGGTTGATTGTTCTCACTGTCAGAAAATTTCTCTTTATTTCCAGGTTGAATCTCTCCTTGTTCAGTTTCCATCCATTATTCCTTGTCTGGCCTTCAGGTGCTTTGGAAAATAACTTGACCCCTTCCTCTCTGTGACAGCTTATTAGATATTGGAACACTAGCTATCATGTCTCCCCTGGTCCTTCTCTTCACTAGACTAGCCATGCCCAGTTCCCGTAACCGTTCACTGTGTGTTTTAGCCTCCAGTCCCCTAATCATCTTTGTTGCTCTTCTCTGCACTCTTTCTAGAGTCTCAACATCTTTTTTATAGTGTGGTGACCAAAACTGGATGCAGTACTCTAGGTGTGGTCTTAGTAAGGCTTTATAGAGTGGTACCTTCCTTGATCTTGATTGCTTCTTGATCTTGATCAATGCTTAAGTATTAGAGAAGGCCATAGCTTCAGTGATAAGAGTTTAATGGTACATCAAAAGTACCCAGTTAAGATAGCCTCCAAAACCTCAATTCCCACCCCACTCCAGGGGGGAGGATACTGCAAAATCTCCATTCCCACCCCACTCTGGGGCCAGCCAGAGGTGGTATTTTCTGGTTCTCTGAACTACTTAAAATTTCCGCTACTGGTTCTCCAGAACCTGTCAGAACCTGCTGAATAGCACCCCTGGAATATAAATTTAATGGTTAAGCTATTTTCCCACCAAATTTTGGCCATCTCACTATCCATCTTTACAGATCTGTCTGTCTGTCTGTCTGTCTGTCTGTCTGTCTGTCTGTCTGTCTGTCTGTCTGTCATGCTTTCCTCATTTGGTAGTGCAGCAATAATATAATTAACATATTTGTTAGTGAAAGATAATACAATCCTACAACTAAAAAGGATAGTGTAAATAATTCATTTCGACCTTCAACTTAATCCAGGAAACCCAGCATTTCTCCATTGTTATTTGTCCCCCTTTGCTTTAATAACTAAAGCATGGAAAGGATTCCCAATCCAGATATTTAGTATTGGGTATTTGGAAAAAGTAAACAAATGATCAAATGTGCATCATTGGGTCACAATGAAAACTATCCCTTTTGTAGTTCTATTGTGATGTGATGTCAAGCAAACACAATTTAGATGAAATTATGGCTTGGTGCAGAGAGCCATCCAAATGGCTGCATTGTGGAATTGTTCCTTTTAAGAATTTTCTAATATTCAACCAATTTCTACCTTTCTGTAAAGTAAACATGAGTATATCCCTGTATGGATGTAGCAGAAAAGTTTCCAAAATTTCAAATCATATTATAGGTGCTTCCACTAAATTTCTCTTTCTCACCATAAATATCACACCAAAATGTACTTTATTCTTGAATAGTCAAGTTGAATCGAACTAGTTAGACCATATTTAGAATACTGCATCCAGTTTTGGTCACCATGATACAAAAAAAAATTGTTGAGAATATAGAAAGTGCAGAGAAGAACAACAAAGATGATTAGGGGTCTGAAGCAGTGGTGGAATTCAATTTTTTTTACTATTGGTTCTGTGGCCGTGGCTTGGTGGGTGTGGTGTGGCTTGGTGGGCATGGCAGGGGAAGGATACTGCAAAATCCCCATTTCCACCTCACTCCTGGGGGAAGGATATTGCAAAATCTCAATTCCCACCCCACTCTGGGGCCAACCAGAGGTGGTATTTGCCATTTTTCCGAACTACTCAAAACTTCCGCTACCGGTTCTCCAGAACCTGTCAGAACCTGCTGAATAGCACTGCTGGTCTGAAGGCTAAAACATATGATGAATAGTTGCAGGAACTGGGTATATCTCTAGTCCATGGGTGTCAAACTCGATCACGTCACATAACATCACGTGACATATTGTGACGTTTTTTGTCTTTGTGGAGCCGGGGCCGGCATGGTCTACACGGGATGGATACGGCCCGTGGACCACCAGTTTGACACCCCTGCTCAAGTCTAACAAAGAGAAAGACTAGTAGTGACATAAGAGTCAATATTTGAAAGGTTGTCACAGAGAAGAGAGGTTGGTCTACTTTCCAAAACTTCTGAAGGCAGGACAAAAGGTAATGAGTGGAAGATCTGTTAAAGAGAGATCTAACCTAGAATTAAGAAGAAATTAAGGAGAAATTTAAGAAAAGCCGAGGTGGCGCAGTGGTTAGAGTGCAGTACTTCAGCTACTTCAGCTGACTGCTAGTTCAGCAGATCAGCGGATCAAATTTCACCGCCTCAAGGTTGACTCAGCCTTCCATCCTTCTGAGACGGGTAAAATGAGGACCCAGATTGTTGGGGGCAATATGCTATTTAGTATACTGTCTTTGGTGTAAACCGTCCAGAGTCCTCGGAGAGTGGGTGGCATAGAAATATGACTAATAAATAAATAAATAAATAAATTTCCTGTCAGTGAGAACAAGTAATTAGTGGAATAACTTGCCTTCAGAAGCGATGGGTGCACCACCACTGGAGATTTTACAGAAGAGATTAGACTACATCTTCTCTGGCATGCTTGATCAGGGAGTATGTACAAATAAACAACTGTTCAGTGCTAAACAACTCTGAAGTGCTATAAATAAAGCTCAGGACTGGTGGAACTCCATTAAAAATGAAATAATGCACTTCAAATGTCGAAAGGTTTATACAATGTTTTCTCTCTGTTATATTGCAATATATGTGTCAATGAATGCCTGGAAGAGTTTTATTACCGTGACGGAATGGATTTGTCTTGGAACTGTATCCTGAGAGATAAGTTTTATAAGAAATACTTCAGATCCTTTCCAATTGTTTGAGGAGTTTCCAGAGATTACAAAACCAGCCTACGGTATAATCCAACTTTATAGTGTGCATAACAGACACTCCACATTGATAACTTGTGTATGGTCCCTGAAGTTTTTATGTAGCACTGGATGTAAAAGCTTCTCTCCTAAATCTGCTCTTCAATTACCGTATTTTTCAGAGTATAAGACGCACCGGAGTATAAGACGCACCCTAGTTTTTGGGGAGCAAAATAAGAAAAAAGCTGATTGGCAGGTGGATCAGCCTCCCGGAATACCCCCAATCAGCTGTTCCCAGAGATGAATTTTAACAACAGGTTCCTTGGTTGTGAGCTCTGTGCCTTGCTTTTTTTTCTGCCTCTGAAACTTCTGAAACTCCATTTCAGAAAAAACTTTATTTTCTTGCCTCTGAAAGCCTCCGAAACAGAGCTTCAGAAAAAAAGCCTCTGAAGCTCTGTTTGGGGGCTTCTTTTCTGAAGCTTCATTTCTGATACTTTTTTCAGCCTCTGAAACCCCCGTTTGAGAAGCTGGGCGGGGCTACATTTGGAGTATAAGACGCACCCAGATTTTCACCCTTTTTTTTTTTAAATACAGTATGTCTATGGATATAATAGTACCTTTTGTTAAGAGACCCAGGCTTTCCATTCGGCAAAATGAGGTAGCCCAATGGTTCTCAACCTCGGCCATTTGAAGAGGTGTGGACTTCCCCAGCATGGCTGGCTAGGGGATTCTGGGAGTTGAAGTCTCACATATCTCTTCAAGTGGCCAAGGTTGAGAAATACCTTGAGGCAGCCTTTTCAAACAGCCAAATTTGGATATATCTTAAAGGCTATTGCTTAACGCGTTGTAAGCCGCCCTGAGACTCCGGAGAAGGGCGGCATCTAAATCAAAAAAAAAAAGGGGGGGGGGCAGCAAAGTATCTTCTTATTTATCTTGTTGTGTAATGGATGAGAAGAACATGTCAGAATGTTTACAGCACGACTACTATTTTGAGGCAATCCGGGAGCAAAATACAGGACACAGGGGTCTTTCAAATAGTGGTTTATCTACAAGTTATCTACAGTATATATACATACATGTGCTAAGCAAAGCCAGGCAATTGATCTTCAATTCTACACAGAGAACTACAATGCATACATGAGGAGAGAGAGAGAGAGACGCCCTCTCATGGCCTCCCTTATATAGATAGCAGCAATAACCCTGCTGACTCATCCTCAGTGGGCTACATCCTTACAATGGCTGGTCAGCATTAAATCTGCATTACACCGACAGAACATCTACCAGATTTTCTGACAGACATAGCAGAATAATTAAGCTGGTCTTTCTGTGAGATTGGGAAAGGTATAAATGGGCACCATTTGATTGTACAGATAGTTAAATGCCTGTATGTGGCGTGAACACTTACATTTGTTCAGCTAACAAGTGGCCAAAGATATCTATGGAGATGGGTTGACTCAAAAAAGTCAAGTGCTTGGCATGGCTTCCTTGAAGCCCTACCTTTTTCTTTTTATTTTTACTCGTAATAAAATGATAGCTGTGATCACAAACTATACAGTGGCATCCACCATTGTGATTGTTTTGATTGAAATTCCCTGCCATTTAGACTTCCATTTTTAAAAATTGGCAGGTCAATTTAGCAGAATCCAAAGGATCATTTTAATCATATACATAGACATTTCGCCACAGTTGATTTATAATCAACTTAGATAAGGTGAATTGATGACAGGATGGCTGATTTCTTTTTACATATATAATTTTTATTTTTAAAAAATTAAGAAAATAAGAACAATACAGATTTTGAAAGAAAAAAAAAAAGTAAAGAAAAATAATAAGTGAAAACATGCCAAGAAAGAAGCAGAGAAGAAAAAGAAAGGAAAGGAAAAGTTCTAAAGGAGCAGTTTCTGATCTTTGTAATAGCAGGTCCTTCTAGATTTATATTTTACCCTCTCTGTCTCTCTAAAGATGACAACATCATTTCCTTCTTTCCAAAATCTACCCTTTCTGATCATCAAACCCATAAATCACAATTTATTATTTTTTTCAGAAAAAAGTCCATAAGGGATTTTCTGTCACTAATAAATGGTTTTTTTGTCTCTAATCAGACAAATCGATGTTGCCATCCCTGCTAATTCTGTCATCTTCACCATTCATTCCTCTGTTTTAGGTATTTTAGTCTTTCCATTTTTGCGCGTGCAATGATCTTGCAGCAGTTATCATATAAAAGTAAAGGTAAAGGTTCCCCCGCAAATGTGTGCTGGTTGTTTCCAGCTCTAGGGGCAATGCTCATCTCTGTTTCAAAACCAAAGAGCCAGCGCTGTCCGAAGACATCTCCGTGGTCATGTAGCCGACATGACTAAACGCCGAAGGTGCACAGAACGCTGTTACCTTCCCACCAAAGGTGGTCCCTATTTTTCTACTTGCATTTTTACGTGCTTTCGAACTGCTAGGTTGGCAGAAGCTGGGACAAGTAACAGGAGCGTACCCTGTTACGCGGCACTAGGGATTCGAATTGCTTGAACTGCCGACTCTTTGATCGACAAACTTTCGATCTTAGCCACTGAGCCATCACGTTCCCTAGTTATCATATATAGGATAATTATTCTTATCAATAGAATACTATACTATATTGTATTGTATTATTATATTACATTCATTTCATTATATTATTTTAATTATTATATTTTCACACACACACATAACACTGGATTACATTCAATGTAAAGTAGCCAGTTATGTTTTATCAGTTTTTTCTTTATCTTCTCAGCATGAAAACCAGCTATTGGCCTTTAGGATCCGAGTAACTCTTCTGGTGTTAGGATCAAACTCATATTGATTTCTTCCCTTAAAGAAGTACAACACATCTACAAAGGGGAAAGAAAGCAAACATAAAGGAATATAATGTACATTTTCAAACAAATGGAAAAATACTTAACAAGGGGTAGAGTCATTATAATTACTTCAGCTGTTGTGGAAATGCAACAATAAACACACTTGACCGGAATGATTTTTCTGACAGATTCTGACTACATTTTGCGAGCAATAAAATTGAGAAAGAGACGTAAGGTTTAAGATTTGTGTTACTCATCCAAACTGGGATGAGGTGGGGGGCACAATTCTTTGGTGAGCAAAGAGAGGTTTGCATTGAAATCAGTGGACAAATATAAATGTTAAATGAACATTGAATTCAATTTTACATGATTACAATTGCAAGCAGTTAATCTGCCACTCCAGGTTGGTTCTGACTGGAGTGGCCTATACCTTGTAATAAACAAATAAAGATTAATTATAGTTGCTTTAATATATCCTTTTCCAAAAAATATCCTTATGGGGGAATTCTGAAGGACATAACTAAGTAATTTAGCCCTTCAGAGCTTCTGATTAAGGACCTTTATCCTAAGCTCAATTGAGCTTTGTTTATGTTTCCTTAAAAAAAAAAGCGATATTGCACAAAATCCCTACTCAGGTCTTCTAAAAGTTGTTCCTTACCATTGTAGTGGAAGACAGCATCAATCTTGCCTGAGATACCTGGAAAGCCATCTTGGATCCTTTGGGGACTTCTGTTCATGGTTTTGCTGTCTTCATCATAACTTAGAAAAGAAGGAAAAAGGAAGAAACTTAAGCCAAACCAAAATTGGAGTTAGAATCATAGATTCGAAAGGAATCCAAGTTCAATATCCAGAAAAGAAATCTACATTAAAGTATTTGCTTTTATGCATCAAATTTATCAAATCAAATTTAAATGTTGCTCATCTTGTGATGCAGAGTGACAGAAGAGTCCCAGGCAGAAGGCTTGGACCTGAAATGGAGGGAAAACAACCCTCTGTTGTTTCTGTAACATTTCCACTGTTATAGTGCTGTTGGGAAGTTTTCTAACATTCATTTGGAATGTCTTCCTGTAATTTATATTTACCATGCCATGTCCTGCACTCTGGAACAAGAGGCAACAGGCCTTCCTTGACCTTGTGTTTGACATACTTTTAGGTATTTGAAGAATATTCTCGTATTCCTTCTCAGATTTCATAAGTGTACATATTTTCCATTCCTTAAATGTTCCGTTACAGGATTTAGTTTCTAGTCCTTAGATGGCCCTTGTTGCCTTTTCCGGAACATATTTCAGTTTTTCTTCATCCCTTTTAACTAGTGATACTGCAGACCTAAACATCATGCTCAAGATAAAGTCTGACCAAATACAGGAGAATAGTGCTAAAAATCATTATATGGAAAATTTGGAAATTAGAATTTTGGCCATGGAGGCTAAAGGTTCTGTCAAGAGCAGAAAATCAGGAGCCAAGGCAGTTCAAATGAATACAGAGTTATTCTTGTACTCTCTACAAGAATCTGAACTACTAACAGTCAAAAGTAAATTGGCAGTAGATAAAAGTCAATGGAATTCAAGGAAGCTGGACTTAAATCTCTTGTGGATATGAAGGGACTCAAGACTAATGACATATAGAATAGAGTTTTGTATTGGCCAAGTGTGATTGATCACACAAGGAATTTGTCTTGGTGCATATGCTCTCAGTGTACATAAAAAAAAAGATACGTTCATCAAGTACTCTGACAGAGGCTATCTGGACCATGACCAGAGTCTTTTCCACTCTGTCTGGAGATACCAGAAATTAAAATTGGGACCTTCTGTATCCAAGGTTGACAACTATTACTAATCTGTATTATTTATAGATTAGATATGAAACCTAAAATACAGTACATAAGGTTTTGTCCTTATCGGCTTAATCAGTAAATGCACTTTATAGACATGAAAATGTACTGTAATTCAATTTACTTTTCATCTCCCAAATCCAGCTCTACAATAATTGCTTTCTGAAAAGAATAAAATTTTCTATCCGGTAATCAAATAATACCTGTGGCTATCATTAGAGGGCACTAATCAATTTGGAAATGAAATAACGCCATACTGTTTTAATTGTATAGCAATAGCAGTTAGACTTATATACTGATTAACAGTGCTTTACAGCCCTCTCTAAGCGGTTTACAGAATCAGCCTATAGCCCCCAACAATCTGGGTTCTCATTCTACCCACCTTGGAAGGATGTAAGGCTGAGTCAACCTTGAGCCGATGAGATTTGAACTGCCAAACTGCAGCTAGCAGTCAGCTGAAGTAGCCTGCAATGCTGCACTCTAACCACTGCACCACTTTGGCTCTTCAATATAATATAATGCAATAGAACATGTTGCCACTTGCCACTAAAATAAACTATGCATACAAACGATATGCACTGTTTTTATCAATTACCCACATTTTTTGGGGGGGGGGGGCGACATGAAATATACAGCCAAGGAAGTGACAGTTTTATTAGTTGGAGTCTCAAATGTATGCTGGATTTAACATTTAGCATGTTTTCTTTAAAATGTTTGCCTAAGACATTTGAAAGTAAGTTGTAAGTCCTCTTGCATTGCATTTGACTTTATGTCATACCTCCAGTATCTGTCTGAAGAAAAATAATATGTCTTCCTTTCATTGGCACTGAAAACTGCAGCATCAATTTTTGCGACATCTTTGGGAAAGCCCAGACTGTGGATGGGCTTGGGGTACCCAGGAAGCATGTAATCTCCTTTCACGACCCAGAACTGGTTGCCTGTAATCAAGCAGATTATGAGTACCAAGGATATCTAGAAGTGAATGAATAGGAAACCTGCAAGAAGTGCCTATAAGTCAAATAAACCGGGCAACGTAGAAAAGACAGGTTATTTGCCTGAGATTATTTGCTTTCTGAATGAACCAAAATTATTTTGCTAAATTGGTACTTTTACCCCAGAATTCACAGTTGTGTTACAGCACCATGGATCTGTCTTTCAAAAGATACTTTAGGGAACTTGAGGCAGGGGTGAAATCTACTTACCTTCCCTACCGGTTTGGAAGTGCACACGCGCCATCATCAAGTCTGATTTTGGACCCTCTGTGCTTGCGCAAAGCCTTCTGCGTATGCGCAGAGGGTCAAAAACAGGTTACTTCCTAGTTAAAACAAGGAAATAATGACGTCCGGGCAGGTGGGCAGAGCCTCACGCTGCCGCTGCTACCGGTTCCCTGAACCATGCGCTGCTACCGCTACCGGTTTGCCTGAACCAGAGTGAACTGGTAGCATTTCACTCGTGACTTGAGGGCATGAATTTAGCCCCAACTTGCAAATCTTTAAAACAGCTGCATCTTTTCAAAGATGTCCCCTACATCTGCAGAAGACTGCCACACAATTCCAGGAAAAGAGGTGACTGCTTTAAAGAGTCAAAGACCTGCTATTTTCTCATCCAGATTTTCAAGAAAATACCATTTTTGAATCAAATACAGAACAAGGGCAGGAGAGCCCTAGTATATCTATAACAATAGCTTACCTTTAAAAAGAAATGCCTCATCTTTCTCATTATTTTCAGAAACGGCATCAACTCCAGATGGCAGAAATGACCAAAATTCAGAAATTAGATTCAACTCAATCTGTCTGTACTGGGGGAGTTTTCGCCAAAAATATCTATTAAAAACACATATATGTTTTAAAGCACTGCACCTCTGAAAGCACTTTAAAATAACTTTTAATATCTGAAATGTCAAATCTTGGCAACAGCATTTTTTCCTTAAACAGAGAGAGACAAGAGTTAGAAAAGGAAAAAGGAAAAAGAAATGAGGTGCTGTGAAAGACATTTTAAATGCTATCAGGCATTTATTCAGGGCATTATTTGATATTAGGATTTATTATTCAATTTTTAACAGTGCAGATCATGGAAAAGCAATTCATTATCCTCTGGCTGCATGCAACTCATAAGATAATTTCATAGAATTTTTGCATTAAAACAGAAGGTAGGATTATTAAATATGATTACAGCCTTTAATTGATAAAAAATTATATAAATATTTCAGGTGCCTCTTGAGATACAACTGTTTGCTTAATGAGTGTTCAAAGTGACAATGGACTTCAAAAAAGCTAGGATTTGGGGGATTTATAACCTGTCCTTGAAATTAGAACTGCCCTCCCCCCCACAGTCATGTGATCATTTTTCAATGCTTGGGAACCAACTTGGATTTACTACCGGTTGCAAGGTCTGTGGTCACGTGACCAGAACTTGGCAACTTTCTTGCCATTTTCTAGCATTATTGTCTGTGTGCGTTGAAGAGAGAGAGAGAAAAAAAAAAGAGAGAGAAAAGAAGAAGAAGAAGAAGAAGAAGAAGAAGAAGAAGAAGAAGAAGAAAAGAAGAAGAAGAAGAAGAAGAAGAAGAAGGAAGAAGAAGAAGAAGAAGAAGAAGAAGAAGAAGAAGAAGAAGAAGATGATGATGATGATAATTCTGGTTGGAAGTTACAGGCCTTACTTATTCCAGAAAAACATTATTTCTCCCCGAAAAGTGGTCACAGCATCAAATGTCAAATCAGGATTGCAAGCAGACGGTAATGCTGGTTTGCCTGGGCTGTTGGGTTTTCTTGGTTCATCCTTTTCTTCTGGGTCTTGAGGTAGATTTAATGATGCTCCTAAAAGAATGTCAGATGCATAAAATTAGCAGGGGGGAAAAAATCCTTCCCTGTTGACTAAGCATACAATATACACAAAGTTTTTGCATAAAGTCCAGAATCTGGTAACCTCCAGAGGTTTGTGTTGGCTGGAAGCTGAAATCCCAACTATCATTTTAGGCTGATGAAAAGCTGATGTTTCCTTATCTACATGCTGATAAGAGGTGACTTAAAACATGCAGACATTTTAGATAACTGAGCCTGAGTTTAGTTCTCTCTCAGATCAGAAATGGTTAAAGGGTTCAATATTTTAGATTACATGCATTTTCTAAATTACCATAGAGATACTGGATGCCAGCAATATCATCCTGAGATAGAATCGGTTGATTTCCCAAGGGCGTCTTATACGTTGGACTCATCACTGCATTAGGATCTTGAGAATGGAAGAGTCCAAGTGAATGGCCAAACTCATGAACAGCAGTATAAAATAAATTGGTACCTACACGGGCGATAAGAAACATCATATTGTAAACATCCATTCTAAATCTTATCCCAAAGGTACTTTTTCAAGAGGCAACTGGACTTTCTGGTTCTTCTTTGAAGACGTTTTGCTCAGGGGTAAGCTTCAAAAATTTTAGCAAGGGATTCTCTGCCCGGTTGCTAGGTGGGCGTGGCCATGGTGGGTGTGGCCTAGTCAGCCTCCTGCACCAAAGTGGGGATGGGGTTGCTCTCCCTGGGCTCTGGAGCCCTTTGTCGAGCCTCTGGGAGGCCGAAAATGGCCTCTCCAGACTCTGGAGGCCCAAACTTCCAGTAGGCCCATTTTTTGCCCTTGCCGAGCCTCCGTGCATGCCCTGCACTTATCTGCATGCAAAACAGGTCGCGTGGAGACTCCTGGGAGGGGTGGGGTGGGGTGGGAGGGGCCAGCCAGGAGTGGGATTTGGGGGTTCTCCAAACTGCACAGAATCTTAGCTAGAGGTTCTCCCGAACCCCTGCGAACCCCCAGCAGCCCACTCCTGGTTTTGCTTCTCATCCAAGAAGCTTCTCCAGCGCTGCGCTCTGTTTTTATATTTTGTAGCCCCTGTCCCATGCCTGCTCCTGATTTTATCATTGCACTGTTACTTGCTAATTTATTTTTCATTCAATTTTAGTTAACTAGTTAAAAGTCAATATGAAAACAATGAAAAGAAAAATTAAACATAAATGGGAACCAAAAGACATTATCAATGTAGATGTCAACGTAACCGTAAGTGTACTTATCACATTTTACTTATCTACAGTCAACAATCTCCTATAATAACATTTCTAATATGTTCACATGTTATTGCTTTAAATTACTGCAATTATAAGAGGAAACATTGTTTGATAAAAGCTATCACCCCATTTTGGTAAGTTGTCACTATAAAAACTTATTTTTCTGTGCAATTTTGTTATAGAGGACAAGGATATTTAAGAAGGTCTATGGAAATTCTCAGTCATCCAGGTCATGGTTGTCCTGAAGATGCTTTTTAAAAAGGCAATTGGACTTTGTTTTTCCTTGAAGATGTTTCACTTCTCATCCAAGAAACTTCAGAACTGAAGAAGCTTTTTGGATAAGAAGCAAATGTTCTTCAAGGAAAAACAAAGCCCAGCTGCCTTTTGAAAAAGCATCTTTGGGATGTTTAAGAACAATGTTTAATATGATTTTGTTGTCACATCTTTTATCTTTATTATTACCTTCTATGCCATAGCTCCAGAATTCATCTTCGTCAAAATGGGCATCTCCTCCAATGCCAGGACCAGGAGCATAAGCATGGGCAAGTGTCTCACCAGGTCCATCAAAAGGATAGAAATCTCCATGAGCTAAATATAACAGAAAAAATATTTTATCGTCTTCATCTCAGACATTGCTTTAGTCCATGACACGAATTAGTGTTTTTGTGTAAACTTTAGAAATAGATTTTCTGTAATACACCACCTACATTACAGCAATACTCAACTTTCTGTCTTTCGTTTTTCATCAGGTTCAAGCAAAACTGAGAATGTGTTAAATTGTGCTTGGATTCAACAGAAGAAATGAGGAGGATCAGATGAACTGAAATTTATTTCTATCGAGGATTTTAACAAGCTAATGAATTTAATGGCTTTAATTTTAGAACTCCAACTAATTAGTCTGACACTTGAAGATACTGATCACAAACATAGATGATGGGCTCCCAGTCAGAAAACTAACATCATTCACAGAACTGTCAATTTTGCAATCATTAAGGGGGGGGAGGGGTAACAAAATCATGAATTTAACAAGATTGTTTATAAAAACAAAGAGATACAAGTTTTTCATCAAAGTCACTGCAAAAAGAGTGAGGGATCAGTTCAAGCCCTAGAATTCTAAAGTGAGATGTCAAATAGTTTAAAACATCTAAATACTATTGGTAGAAAGTGTATTTAATTTGGCAAGTGAAAATTTCTAAGACTAAGAAAAATCCTGATGTAAGAATTATGAATACATTAAATATTTCCATAAACCCTTTATATGTGGAACATATTATCAAATTGTACATGTAAAGGTAAAGGTTCCCCTCGTACATATGTACTAGTCATTCCTGACTCTAGGGGGCAGTGATCATCTTCATTTCAAAGCTGAAGAGCCAGTGCAGTCCGAAGATGTCTCCGTGGTGTTGGCATGACTCAACATCAAAGGTTGTTTGATGTTGATGTTGATGCTGTTACCTTCCCACCAAAGGTGGTCCCCATTTTTCTACTTGCATTTTTTACGTGCTTTCAAACTGCTAGGTTGGCAGAAGCTGGAAGCTGGAAGGAGCTCACCCCGTTACACAGCACTAGGGATTCGAACTGCTGAACTGCCAACCTTTCGATTGACAAGCTCAGCATCTTAGCCACTGAGCTACCGTGTCCCACTATTGTATGTAAATAATAGCTTAATTTACCTCCAGAACGGAAAGAGATAAATATGTCTGCATTGCCACCTGGAACTTTCTGGAATGTCAAAGGTGTAACTCGGCTCCAAACTTTAAAAGCTTTCTTAATGACTTCGTCAACATTCTCTCTTTTCATATCTGGTGTGTAGTTCAGTATCCTTTGAAAAAAATAAACGGGAACCAAATTCAGAAGGAGGTCTTCCTTTCAAGCTTTCAGCATCAATATGAATTATGTCAACCTTTCCCTTGAGAACTTGAGTTGAAAGATTACCTGTAGGTTAGATGTTTCTTCTGCCACTTGGGTTGACCTGCAAAGAAGGCAAATTGGCCCACATCTGGGTTTCCACATCTGGGTTTTTGAATTGCCTGCAGCGTATTGGAGTCTATATCACCTGTCACCTCTAATCCCATAAATGTTTGCATTTCTCTGATCTTATTTGCCATGGGCCTGCTGATTCTGCTTCTAAAGACTTGTTGCCCATTTGATGTGAAGTTGTAATATTTTTCTAGGTACCTCTGAAATAGAAAATGGTAGACTTCTATTAATTAATTTGCTTACATTTTAGAATGATTTAAGAAGTCTCTGGTCAAATGCATATCTAATTATTTAAGGCCAATATGAACGCATTAGTTTTGTTGTACTTGTTCTACATTTTATAAAAGATAGAAATTAGAGGACAAAAGAATATATTATCAGCAATCTATCCAGCATCACAATAGAGTAGAAATACTGTAGATGATAACAACTCTCACAGCTTTCTGTACTCCATTACAACATTGAGCTGGATGTAAAAATTAGATCTTCCCAAATTCTTCATCATTTTAACTGTCCAAGATGCTTCCTGGGACGGGTATGAATAGTCCAACTATTATTCATGATGTCTTCTTTGTAAGAAAATATTTTGGTATTTGAACGCAGTTACCCTTTCCGTTATATTTTACATAGATTTTAGATTACATTTTAGATTTTAGATGTTTGGTTATAAATAACCTGAGGTCCAAGTAAAACACTTTATTGTGTAATACTAAATCTCCAGATAAATAGATACTTATTTTTTTTAATTTATTTATTTAATTTGTATACCGCCCTTCTCCCAGAAGGGACTCAGGGCGGTGAACAGCCAGAATTAAAAATACATAAAATACAAAAGTTAAGATAATTAAAAGAATTAAATCGATCGGCCTCCCAATTTAAAACCCCCAAATCTATAAAATTTAAAATCCCATTAAAAAACCATTTAAGATAGGCTGGCTTGATGAAATAAATACGTCTTCAGGGCCTTACTTCTCTATTCCTTGAAGCTATCATCTTTCAACTTTTGCAAGAGTGTGGCTTTTCGTAATCACTTTCTTACCTTTTTCTATTTTTATTAATCCCACATTTTCTACGTACTTCTGGAAGATGACAAAATAATTACATGTATGCATGTATGTGTGTGATAAAGAAAACATAATGATTAGATAGTTAATATACCACTTAGAGAGTGCTGTAAAGTTTAAGTGCTATTGCTTATATTTCTTACATTATTTTAAATGTACAGTTACCTTGCATCAATATACACTTCCATTCGCATCTTTGGCCTTACCTGCATAAGAAGCATTTTTTCTTTTTCATGTTTTACAGGCAAAGCAAAAGCTATTGCCCCACCAAAGAGCACAAGCCAGAGGTTTCTCATCCTGGCTGCTGTTTTTCTGCTTCCAAGCCAAGGCAAAGGGATATAGCTAGCTTTAAGATGTGCTGTTCTACTTATATAGTATTTTGGTGCCTTGCAAATTGATTTAAGCTTGCCTCAACTACAATGATTACCTAATCCATGACAGAGGATATGAAGGGGTGGGGAGATGTGGGGAAAAGAACAAGTGTGCTGTGTTAAATGATTTAATATGATTTCTTCACTCTTCATCATGGCAGATGTTGCAATCTTCCATGCTTTGGGCATAGGAAACAGTTCCCATTTATGTTCTAACTGTTAGCTGGAAACATACCTTCAATATGCTTTGTATGCTCTCTATTTTTGTAACTGTGTGTGCATGCACATACATATGTATGTGAATACCAGAGGTGTTATTCACTTACTTTCCCTACCCATTTGCAAATGCGACCATGCATGCCTTCCGCGCATGCACCCGGCCTTAAAAACATGCCTAAATAGAATGACATAGAGCTGGGGAGGGTGGGCGACCCTACCTGCGATTTCCACTATCAGTTCGGGTGAACCGGTCCAAACCGGCTGAATACCACCTCTGGTGAATAGCAGTGGTGGGTTACCCCCAGTTTGCACCGGTTCTATAAACCGACAGGAGGCTCCACCCACCGACCCCGACATCATCAAAACGCTTTTGCGCTTGCGCAGAAGAGCACGTGTGCACGTGAGCAAAGCGAGCATGTGCGCGCGGCCCCGCTGCAAACCGGTAGTAAAGGTAAGTAGAACCCACCCCTGGTGAATACCCTATGCATACAGTTCATAGAGTACAGAAAATGAGTTCATCAAATCACACCATGGTACGGCTCCAGTTTTTAACCCAGAATGTAATCAAGGAACTAAAAATGTTTACCAACTTATGTCAATCAATTCCTTATAGGGTGCAGACTGCATGGGATGACTAACATTTTAAGATTATTTGCAAGTCATAATCCTATGAATTCAGACTAGAGGAAAGCACTGATGACTGTCAAAATGATGTCATCTCGTGAACAGACAATGTTGGGTTGGGGAAAAGATGGGATGAGATGGGAATATAATGTGTGAATTTGTAGCCTGTTGTCATGAAGAAGGCCAGAGGCAGTCTTAGTTTTGGGGGTTCTTGAGATTTCCAGAATCATGGTTTTGAATTTCATTGAATGATTTAAAAATATATGAAAAAAAAAAAAACTTTCAGGAAATATTGTGTCGTGTATCCATCTCATCTCCTCCTTCCCAGTCTCTCTCTAAAGGAGATGAATGATTTGATAGTAGGATATATTTATTCAGAAATAAACCCCACAGTGTTGAATATGACGCCATTATGGCTAGACTACAAGATTGAGATCTGATCCCTAATGTCTGGCTACAGTACATAAAAATGACATGTTAAATAATGCTTCCTCCAAGAGTTGATGGTCCATATCTGGACCAGTCAAATGTTGTCTTAAGGGTAGGTAAACAATTGCAACATGGAATGATAAGATAGCTGCAAGTTCATCATGTCTGCTACAATGGTCAATTAATCCTTCAAAGTGGCATTTGGATGTGAAAAAAAATTGAAGTATAAAATATGTGCAATCAGAAAAGTGAGATAAAATAGGGGTGAAGCTCAGTGGTGGGATTCAAATTTTTTTACTACTGGTTCTGTGGGCGTGGCTAGGTGGGTGTGGCTTGGTGAGTGTGGCAGGGGAAGGATACTGTAAAATGTCCATTCCCTCCCCACTCCAGGGGAAGGTTACTGCAAAATCCCCATTCTTCCCAATCAGCTGGGACTCAGGAGGCAGAGAATAGATGAGGGCGGGGCCAGTCAGAAGTGGTATTTACCGGTTCTCCGAACTACTCAAAATTTTCGCTACCGGTTCTCCAGAACTGGTCAGAACCTGCTGAATACTACTTCTGGTGAAGCTTCAGGAGAGGGATAGCCCATTATTAGTTGGGTATTATTTTCTGCTGACAAAGCAAGTATTACAAATATATCTTGAATTTCCAACACTCTCTTACACAAAAGAAAGTAGCATTGCCACCAGCCATTTTCCCTGCTTAAATGTTACTTAACATCTTTCACCTCAAACATTTGAGGTCAGTCCAATGTTAAAAGAAGGTCCAATCTATTAGATACGACTGGTCCAGTTTAAATCTTGGAGACTGTTCTGTTGCACTTTAGTTCTCATTTTTATTATTATAATGATATGGATTACCCCATTTCCTGTTCCAAAAAAGTCTGTAAGGTATTTTTTTTCCAGGATGTTTTTTTTAAGATGTCCTTTTATTACATCTTGTCCTTTCATGACATCTTCATTTAATTAGATGTTCTTTCATGACGTTCCATAATGTCTTTCTTTTCATGTTGTCTATCTTGTAAGGATTTTTTTTCACAGTGTCAGGCTTCCGGAGAAGGAGATACCCATGAAAAATAGCATCCACACCAGAGGTGGTTTTCAGCAGGTTCTGACCAGTTCTGGAGAACCGGTAGCGGAAATTTTGAGTAGTTCGGAGAACCAGTAAATACCACCTCTGACTGGCCCCGCCCCCACCTATTCTCTGCCTCCCGAGTCCCAGCTGATCGGGAGGAAATGGGGATTTTGCAGTAACCTTCCCTTGGAGTGGGATGGGAATGGAGATTTTGCAGCATCCTTCCTCTGGAGTGGGGAGGGAATGGAGATTTTACAGTATGTATCCTTCCCCTGAAGGTGGGAGGGAATGGAGATTTTACAGTATCCTTCCCCTGCCATGCCCACAAGCCACACCCACCAAGCCACACCCACAGAACTGGTAGTAAAAAAAAAAATTGAATCTGACCACTGATCCACACATCCACACATCTTATCTGACTTGTAAGTAAATAACAGCAAGGGCAACCTCCATCACCCATCAGATTGTCACTGTCACTTTGAAACACATTACAGGTGAAAATCCATTCCTGGCATCCCATCCAAGAGGTAATTATGAAGCTCATTACAGAGCAGGGGTGTCAAACTTGCAGCCCACGGGCCGGATACATCACATGATGGCCATCCCCACCCCCGGTTTAGCAAATGGGGGGAAAAGTTGTGATCCATCACATGACAACGTGTCGTCATGAGCTTGACATCCCTGGCATAGAGATATGTATATAAATGTGCATATTTTATACATTTGTTGTACATTCTGCATATACACATTTCAAGTTCTCTTTCCCATAACAAATCTGATTTTTTTTTTTCACAGTAATGTCCCTCTTCTACCTTGTGGCTGTCTGTGGCAGACATTTTTTTCTTCTTCCATTCAATCATGTCTAATTATTGGAGAAAGCCTGGACAAGTCCTTGCAGTTTTCTTGGCAAAGTTTTTCAGAAATGGTTTTCCATAGGGTTGACAGAGTAACTGGCCCAAGGGCACGCATGTGACTTTGTGCCCAAGGAAAGACTAGAACTCACAATCTCCCAGTTTCTAGATTGATGCCTTAACTTCTACACAAACTAGTTTTTGGTATAGTGCCAACATTAGGCTTTGCATGGCATTCAATGAGCAAAACAGCCATCTGGATCTTCTTCTTGAAACTGCTGTGCTGTGAAGGCCTCAGATCAGTGGTGGGAGTCAGGCAATTTAACAACCGGTTCTCTGCTCTAATGATTTCTTCCAACAACCAGTGTGCCAAACTGCTCAGAAATTTAACAACTGGTTCTCCCGAAGTGGTGTGAACTGGCTAAATCCCACCACTGCCTCAGATGTGCCTCCAGGCAGCTACCCTGACCTGTTGAGAAGCTATGGATGTTTCAAGGCTTTTAGATGGACATCTTGAAGCACCTTTTTGAATGATATGCTTGCATATTGAACAGGCAAAGAAATATGGATATTATTCACTGACATTTGTTGGTAAGAGAGCAGATAAGGTTGGCCGAATAATTCTCCCCTTCCACCTGGAATCCTTGTCCTTCCTAATTCTGATGCTGACAGGAGATTTCCTAAGCAGATATGAAGTTTAGGTGGGGAAAATTCCTGTTGTGAGTAGAGACATTACATTGTATGACGCTTGAAGTATCCCAGGCTCAGATACACTTTTATTTAGGGAATTTCCCTGCCTTTTCAACACGCTCAATTTCTGAACTTCCCTCAGATTATTGTTCAAAGTTTCTGTGATTTTTATCTTTTGCCTCAGGGATATGAACACCCATCTTTTCTTGCACAAACCTGCCTTCTACTGAGGCATTTTAGCACTTATTTTATACCTAATCCCAGATGTGTTCTAAATTTGGGCCAGGAACAGGATGCTTTCAGTGGCTGAAAAACACTTCTAAAATAGTCTCTCTCTCTCTCTCTCTCTCCCTCCCTCCCCCCCTCTCTCTATTTTCTATAAGGTAGGTCTTTCTGGTAGACATCAATTCCTACCATTACAAATGACTAAGGTTTTATAGGAATTGAAGTTCAACACAACTTCTTCATTTTTATTAATAGCTTTCCACCTTAAAAGATTGTTTTCTTTCTGAAGGATATTTGAAATGGCATTAATAAATTTTATTTCTGTTAAATTTTACTTCTGTTAAATTTTATTTCTGTTTTTCCTTTGGATTCTTTTTTCTTTTTTTTTAAAGTTCTTATTTGAAGCTTATCGCAAATGAGAAGAGAGTCTTGGTCTCTAGGGAGATGACTGTGGGTGGGGTAGTGATCGGGGCTTTGCGGGAATGTTCAGATCTGGTTTTTTAATGCCATAACCACTTGGCCTTTGGTCAAAGTTTACCTTTCGCTACAATGGAGTCGAGGGTCTTTCTTTCCTAATTGCCCAAGCTGGAACAGACCTGACAGTGGTGGGATAGACAGAAACCACTGGAGACAAGAAATTCCATGTGTCACTTAGATCTGTGCCATGTAGGGCTTTAAAGGTAGACAACTAGCGCAACAAATTCCATCTGGATGCCTACTTGAAATCAGCATAGTTCCTGTAGCAATACATGGACGAATAGTAGTGTGTTCAGAACTGCATGTGCTGCTGGGTTCCAGCCAGCTGATCATTTTATTAAAACTAGCAAGTTCTAA